TGGGCATTTGGACAATGAGTTCTGGATGCACAAAATGGATTGCTCTTGCTGAGCTGTAATTTTAAAAAAGATAATTTTAATGACTCTTGAGGGCCATCTACTTGGAGCAGATGGAACCCACGCTCTTTGTATCGCAACTTTCATGTTGAGTGAGTCAGGAGAGAACCCTGCTTTAGCCTTTGTAGCAGTGGATGATCATAGTTATTTCTATTTCAATTGATTTTTAAATTCAGCTCACTGTGAATAATGTCTTATATAACATTCTTAAAAGTTCTGTAACAAAAGACATCTGCAATATTCCAAACACACTTTGATGGCAGTTTTGAATTTGTAATTGAGCTCCAGTCAGCAGGGGTTTTTACTTCTGTCCAATGTTTCAGTGACTAAATATGTGAGCTGACAGTGTCTTTTAGTTGGACTAGCAGACGACAGAGATGATACAGATATATATATTTCCAATGTCAACGAAAGAGCACAATTATTTGCATAAATGTGGCTAAAGTCACAAGAGAATGAAAAAAAATCATTTCTTCTCTGATGATAACAAGATTGACCATTCAAATATATCTTAAACATCTTCACTAACAACCATCCTCAAGAAGTATTTCTACTTCTACCTCATGAATTTTATATAAAACTATTAAAGTAATACAGTTTTCTCCAGGTGGCAAAGCTAACTGACAGTGGTGTCTTAAAATGCATTTCACTAGTTTATAAGCAAATAAAATGAAAGGAAGATGTGACTTTCTAACAAGGAACTACCTGTAGCATGTTTGATATTAAAAGGGGTTGGGCAAATTATTTTTGTAAGCATCTTTATCTGTGGCTAATGATGTGTCACACGTGCACAAATCATAGAGGAAGTTACAGGGACTTTATGGAAAGGGAAAACATCATGTAACTATTTGGAGGAAATGATGAGACCACTTTAAAGATTCAAGACAAAAACATATTTTTCTATAAGTTAGACTTTATGCTCTTTTAACTGATGACACTTTAAAGACTTCTTGTGAAAACTCCTATCCACATCAAATATTATCTGCAAGATGTTTATCTTTTAGCAAAAGTCATAGAATGTTATTCTATGCAGACAAGAGTTTTATAATCATCTTTATCTGCCTATAATCATGAAGAGCCAAATCACAGGAACCAAGGGACCTGGGACTTTTTCAGAGAAGAATAGAGCTTCAAAAGATAACAATAAAGACATGTAGATGTGAATAGCCTAAAAGAATTACACAGAATAATATTAAATTTGCCTGGTAGGTTTAGATAGTATGTTATATTGCATTTCATAATACACAGGAATAAAAATGTAAGGCAATATATTCAAAATAAAGTCCTTCCATATTTTTTCCAACACATAAATTGATATTAAAAGTTTTAAAGGCTACACAGAAATATAAGCAGCTTCAGGTGGAGTAAATATCATCTCTATTGTGTGTGAGAAAGTAACTCAAAATCACTAGTTAAGTATGCAGGGGTGAATGGTTTATAGAAATATATGCTATCAGGAAGAAGAAAATGAAATGAAATAGCTTAACTACTGAGTGCTAAAAAATACCTTGAGAGCAGCAAAACCGAGGAAACTGAGAGGAAGGACTATAAAATGGTCCTTTTAATCTGTTGTTTGTAATTTGTCCTTTAGGCCTCCACAAAGCTAGATGAAGAGATCTGGAGGCTTCCTACCTAACTTGAACACTATGGGTAGTCAGTCCACATAATTCATGTCCAAATATGCATAATTTTTGGCTCTAATGTTCCAAATTGGACTGTTATATAAGACAGATTACCTGTCTTTACAAAAGTCTGCCTTAGTATAGGATACACAGCCAGAGTTTGGGGGGAAAAAATGACAGTATTGGTAAATGAAAAATTAAATTAGGGGAGTAATAAAATATTAATATAAAGCTAACTATGTTAAGTTGCAAACCAGATGTATATACTAGAAGCCACATTGAGAATAATGACCTAAGATACAAAACAGAGTTAACAGTAATATGCTTTTTTTCTTTCAGATGCTGTAATAGTGTAAAACGCGCTGTTTTAATAGCTTTCCTAAGATAATTCACTTATATGGCAGTCTTGATTTTATAGCTCTCCACAAAATATATTTCCATACTGTGCTTTTCAAATAAAACGTATAACTTCAAAATTAATTATCAGGAGTATTAGTACATATGACTGCCTAAGAAATAAAATACATACTAAAGCAAAAACTAAGACAAGAGCATATACAAAAAAATTTATTCTTTTGAGGCTCTCACACTAATGAAGATCTCAGATGTTAATTAATTATTAGCAATTTAAATTACACAGACAATGTATCACTTAAAGCTTATTTTAATTAGTCTTTATTACCAAATGTGCCTTTCCTCTATCATAATAACATGATTTAATTTTTCCTAGTTTATATGCTATTGAATATATCTAATTTCCCTTTAAAAATACTCAATGGACTAAAATCAAATCAAGGCTTTTAACTACAAGTTTCAAACTTCAAGCATAATAAGTTATGTAATTATTACTCATTCATCGATCGTTATTTATAACATGACATTATGTTTTCATTAAATATAGTTATGTTACTCTAAGGATATAATATTCTAAAATAATGCAACTATTGGGTTGTCAGAAAAGTCATGACATATTTTTTCTGTTTTTCGTTGCAAAAATGAGTCATGACTTTTCCGACAATCCAATAATAGTAAGGATACCTTAATCAACTAAACTGATTTTTCTTCAAAGACAATATAATATATAAATAAGCATGTTAAATTTGTAATCCAATTTTCCATTGATTTATACAGAGGGTGCTAAAAAAATGTATCCACATTTTAAGAAAGGAAAAAACTGTATTAAAATTGTAATAATATACACTAATAACAAAAGATGAATACAAGTCACGTGTATACATTTTTTTTGGCACCCCCAGTATAGTTAATAAATGGGAGAAGTAATCCTATTGGAAAAGAATTTACAACCCCCTCAAACAAACCAATTTGACATAGAAATGATCATTATAAATTCTAGAACTTGTTTATATAGCTCAGCATTTTTTTGGTCGTATTTTTGCATTTTAGTTTATATATTGCTTTTGTCTCTAACTGCAAACCCCAAAGCTTGCATAATATGGTTAGGTTTCTGCCTCTCTGTCTGGCTGCCACTTTTAGCAGGCTCCAACTAAAAGTAGGCCAGGGCAGGTGTTAGCAATGAGATGGTCCCACTATAGACTCTAGCCATATGCTACTGGTCATTCTGATGGTCATGGCACAGGGGTGACCAGGTAGCTATGCCAGTCAGAGCTTGTGTAATGCATGATAAATTTATTTTCAATTTTATGTAGTTCGTATTAAGTACATGGCTGCATAATAAACGTTGAAGAATGCCAGAAGTAGAGTAGCTAGTAGCAAAATAAAGCTCATAAATAACAAATTAAAATATTCAGAACGAGCATTCTTCATTTTTCCCATGAAGCTCTATTGCTTCTTCTCAAGGCTTATTCTTTGTATAGATGGAAGTGGTAAGTTCCTCACGTGGTCTTATTTAAAGGGCACTTTCCCCATAATACTTCCCTGAAAGTTTTCCAGAGAATTACCATTTCCCACCAGCCATGAAATTTCTACCATCATAGTAATTCTTTTGGGTTAGGTAAGAAAGATGGTGCTGTGCACATGGGAAGAGAATGGGACTATCCCATTAATGAAATGGTATGAATTAATTGATCAGATTAGCCAATTCATCATACTGTAGAAGAACTGACAGCTGGGATGGCAACAATACTAGATAGAAATGTCCATTTTATAGTTTTATAGCTTAAGGTTATCCAGGGTGAAAGGGACAAAGATGTCCATAGCAACATTTAAAATGCTGGTATCAAATGTTCTATTTATGCACAGAGGGGTCTGTAGGAGGTTTATGTTTGGTAGGACGAATAGTTTCACCACACTCAGAAGCAAGGATATTAAGAAAAAAGGATCTTACCATGTACTTGGCTACAGAAACTCATTAAAAGTTGCAAAAGACCATAATCACTTCCTGAACAATCTGACCATATTCTCAACTGGCTCTGAAGAGAGGAGCTATGGATTCGATCTACATCCCACTGTCCAAAGCCGGGGTTCTTGGTCAGTTATAATTATTAGAACAAAGCTTTGTAAGCGCACACAACAAATTTTTCTAATTATTTGTATAATTTCTACATTGAAATGACTTGTATAATTTGGTTAAACCATAACTTAAATTGGCTTTTGAAATACTTGTTTTCTAGATAATATTAATACCTATCATTAAAGAATAAAGCTAAAGAAACTTCACAAATACATTCATTTTATATGGGGAAGAAAGAGTTATAATGTATTAAGTATTAAATAATTGTTTCAGAACTATATTCAGTTTGGTTTTTAAAAACTTTTTATGAATTTATAAGATATGTTTGTATTCTAAATAATTATCAATAAAAAAAACCTCCTGTAAGGCTAGTCCCAGAACTAATCCATGATTCATTATCTAAACTTTAACTGTCACAAGGCTTGAAATTCTGGGACCATATGGAAAATAATGAGTCCTAATAGGTGTAAGGTGAAAAGATGGCAGGGGATTAAGGAAGCCAGAAAACCGTCAATTCAGAATGCTTAGCAACTGCCACCCCTTTTCCCCAGAGATCTAGAACAATGTGTTCTCAATGTTTTACTGGTTTTTGCTATCATAAAACTAAACTGCATGTTATTTCTCATTCTCTGAGACAAAGATTAAAATGAAAAGACAAAAACAAACCAAAAACTGATTTCTATAATTAAAAATAAAATTGGCTGACGGTTAATAAAAAAAGATAGCAATTTGGAGTTACCATAACAACCTGAGGCAATTGTTGACTGACATTGCAATCTGCTGTAGTTTTATAAATAGCAGTTGATTTCCCTCTTTCAACTAGTTTTAGTGCTTCCTGGAGCTAATGGGACCACTGTGCCTTAAAACTATTTCACCCATCAAGCAGTTACCTCTTCGCTGCTGTCACCGTCGTAATAATCATCCTCCAGGCGGGTCACACTGGTATCCTCTTTTAGATCCAAAAACAACGAGCCCCCCTCTGGGGACATAGTCTGAATCTTCCCATGAGGTGCTGATCGTGGTCTTGACGAAAAAGTGAAAATGTCCTTTGGAACCATTTGGGTTTCCTCTGCTTGTTGGTCATGTTCATTTTCCTTGCTGGCTTCTGGCCACAGCTGTGAAGTGTGGCAGGAGTCATCATCTAGAAGTAAAGACTGTCTGCTGGACGCCAAATGGGCAATGTGACCGTCATTTTCGGGAAATATCCATTCATCTGACATTTGGGAAAGATGACAAAAATTAGAGTAGTGTTCCATAAGTGTAAGTTCAGGCAGGCAGTCTGATTAAAATTTCTTGTTGTTGAAACAGAGATATATTAAATAATGCAAAAGCCAAGGAAGGCAATTTATCCACCACCTTGTCACCTGCCAAACATTTAACCCATAGATTGGTGCCTATACGATCTAGATCGTAGCTACGGACAACTCACATGAACTTCCTCACCATTTGAGCTGAAACACTGGCCAGGAAATTTATGTCTCTAACAATTATCACCTGTTTTGCAGCAAGTTCTTTATAGCACAGTCTCATTAATTTAACATTCCAGGGTGGGGGGGGACTTCCAAATTTAAAAGGGTCTGACTTACTAATATCTTCTTTTAACTGCCGAAGGAGAGAGTACTTAACACACTTCTTTTTTTTTTAAAGATTTTACTGGGGAATTGGGGTAGGGGAACAGCGCTGGGGAATCAGGGAAGGGAAACAGACAAATTGCTGTTGTTTTGTTCTTCAGTCTAGTTGTGGAGGATGTTGCTTCACTGGCCCAAGTTGGCATCATCATTGCGCTCTTCCCAGACGAGGCCGATCAGTTGCTGGCCTCTGGACAGCCGCTCACAGTGGCTGCTGGTCGTTCACGCTGGCTGCCTGCTACACACGGTAGCTTATGGCAGCCCACTGCAGCAGGGGACTGCAGCCTACGCCATCGCCGGCGACCCACGGCAGCCCAGCTTCAGGTTGAGCTGTTTTTCAGCATCTTAGCTGTAGAGGGCAGTGTCACCGGCCCTCATATGTGGGATCCAAACCGGTGCCCTCTGGCATCCCAAGCCAGTTCTTAACCAACGCGCCACTCAGCCGGCCCTTAACACACTTCTTTAAACAGAGTATCTGGGCATTGTTCAGATTATAAATCATGGAGGAGAGGAAGCCACAAAAAGGTTGACAGCCTTTTCTGTCCATTCTGATTGAAACAGGACAATTCACAGACTAAACTGAGTAGACTTTTCAAGTAATAGTAAATTCGGAGAAATATTTGTTAATGTGACTGGTGTTTTCTGCTGGTGAAAAAGACCTTTATGTTTAATTTTAGGAGAGAATGTTTTAATATGAAAATATTTTTGCATGGCATTACTTTTCTTTATATATACTGTATACTACCACTGAGATGCATTTTTATAAAAACTTAAAAAAATTAGAATCTTCTATTCAACATTGAGATAGAATTTATAACTTTATGATCTAGGCAAACTAGAAATGATAAATCTATATAATGAATATTATTTAAAGCATGGTTACTTTCTTCTTCAGAATGACAGCAGAAAAAAGTTGAGCATTTTCTCAGTGTAGTCTATTTTCCTTGAAACTTACTTTTTGCTGCATTACACCAATAGTGAAAATCTTACAAGAATCTGTTCTGCAGAACCACAATGTGGACATGGTAACTTTACCTCTGACTCTTGAATCCCATATTTATCATCACAAGAAATGTATCCAAGAGATATCCAAGATTTGCTAACTCGACTCTAAAGCCTATACTACAAAAGCATATAAGCAATAAGCAAACAAAAAGGCCTTTAATAAAAATGACATTGATCGCACAAATAAAATTGTATTCATCACAATTGTATTCATCTGTTTCTTCACCTAAGAGTATCATTATGTAACATAACTTACCTATAAAAAGGGCAAAAGTATACATTTCTCCAAGAAAGACTTTTAGGAACAAGGCTTTCACAATTTCAGGGACAGAGTCTGTAGGTAAATGGCCAATGGCAGGCTGAATACACTTCACCTGACCACCTTCCCAGGGGACGTGGAAAGGCCTGAGTCAGTGCAGCTGGGGCAGGTGAGATGCATCGATTCACTGGGCTGTCCTCTTTAGGAGAGCAAACCTTTTGCATGGTGCTAAGCACATAGCAGTGCTTTGTAAACAAAGTAGGTGCTTTAATAGAGGTTGAAAACTATGACAAAAACAATTATGTTGCATTATGTTCATGGAGGTGTAAAAAAAATGGAGGAAAAGATACTGGTCTCTTCATTATGCAATTAAACAACTTGTATGACCTTTTGTCAAACATATTATTAACTGTCAAAAAGTCAAAGTAAAAGGAGTGTTTTTATACCAAACAAACTAATTATCTCACTACCACATGCTTTTCTGGAACTTGTAGTTTTACCTCACAAATTTCCATATCAATTGTAATGAATAATTTGGTGTGTTTTCTTAGGAAAATATGTAAATTACTGTGTAATCACAATATTGCAGCAAACAAGATAAATGCAAGAATGATCACCTAAACATCTAATTAGTTTTTCTACAGTCAGATTTATGCTAGAGACACTAATTGTGCCTAACATTTTAATGAAGGTTTCAACGTTGCATAAATAAGACTGACAAACTACAAACACTTTTAATTTATTTTCCTTTTTTCCTTGCTCTAAAACAATTTGCCTTTGTAAAAGTACTACACCTGCGCAGCAAGATACGTTGCTGGGTTCAATGCTCTACAATCCAATCATCTCCATTATAAGGAGGACTGGAGAAATGCGACAACAGATAATCTTTGGGGCCGGGTGACAATGTCATGTGAAAAATTCAAAGTTTTAAACTTTCATTTTGAACAGGACAATTTGTGCATTAAAACTCGAAAACAAAAATTCTCTTTTGTCCATGAAAGTATAACATAAAATTGAGGTTAAAAGGAGATTTACAAAAAATGATATTTTAGCAAATGACTGCGCCATGACTTTTCAAAATGACTGGGTTTGAGGCATTTAACGTATTTATACCTTATTAGTAATTAACAATTATGGCATAAGAATGGTGCAAACCTGCTTGATCAGAAGACTGAGGTGCTGGACTGCTGGGGTTCGGTGTCTCTACTCTTTGCTGGGACCTGGTGATGAGAGCACTTGTTGCTTTATCTTCATTCCTGTTATTTCCTGAAGAATTGCCTTTATTAGAATAAATATTTTCCACTATATCACTTTTTTGATATTTATATTAATTTCTTTACTTTTTTAATTATTAGTTTCAGGTATATAAAACAATATAATGATTACACATTATATTGTACTACCCTTCCAGTCTACTACCCCTTTGACATCTTATAAAGCAGTCACTATACCATTGACTATCTTCCCTATGTTATACTCCACATCCCGTGACAACACACACACACACATGGTGCCAAAAAATGTATACACATTTTAAGAAAGAAAAAAACCTATTAAAATTGTAAGACTCAATATATGCCAATAACAAAAGATGACTACAAGTCTCGTTTGACTTCTGCAATTACAAGAGGTGCTCAAAGTGGTTACCATCAGCGTCCAGACACTTCTGATTATGGCACACTACTCCTTGAGCAACGCTGACAAAAGTGTCTGCTTGTATACATTTTTTGGGCACCCCTGGTATATATATTTAATTATAGTTGACATTCAATATTGTTCTACATCGGGCCGGCTGAGTGGCTCAGTTGGTTAAGAGCTTGCTCAAAGGTTTGAGCTCTGAGCAACAGCGGTTCGAGTCCGGCCCGGGCTGAGCTGCCACTGAGCTGCCAACAGGTGGCAGGATAGCTCAGCTAAAAAAAAAAATATATATTGTTCTACATAAGCTTCAGGTGTGCAGTGCAGTGGTCAGGCATCTACACAATCTATGACATGATCCCCCTGATCAGTCCAGTACCCATCTGCACCTTACATGATCTTTACAATATTTTTGGTTATATTCTCCATACTGCATTTCACATCCCCATGACCTTAATGTGACTACCAATTTGTACTTTCTAATCCCTTCACCTTCTCCCCCTCCCCCTAACTCCCTCCCATCTAGCAGCCATCAGTTTTTTCTCTGTATCTCTGTATCTATTTCTGTTTACAAAAACTAATCTTTGAAGAATGGTATTAATTTGGTATACTTTTCTATATGATTACTGTAAAGCAAGTTAGAAGTGACACTATAGATTATATGCAGTTTTTGTTTTTTCAGTAGACTGCTTTAAGAAGAACTCAGCTGCATTTTTGCAGATGTTCATCTTAAAATTCCTGGATATTTGCATGGGGACATTTTAGATTTAAGTTTTACAATATGCAATAAAAGGAATTCCAAAACCCATATAACTTTTAAAGGGTCTTATATTTTTTCTTTTGGTTCCCCACAAAACAGAGTGTTTTCTTTAAATTACAATTCCTACTGAACTCGACTCTTCTAAACCAAGCTCTTTCCATCAGCGCCCTTAGAAAATGGGCACAGGCATTACAGCAGAATTAATTTTTCTATCCACTATTTTATAAAAATAACATGAAACATAGCAAGTTGAATTTTGGCCTACCCAAGAATCCTACATTTTTGAGATTTTACGCTAACAGATGTGTACATGGTACCTTTTGGGCTTGATTCGGGATAGGTTAATGCATGTATATACAAATCTACACAAACATGCTTCAAATCCATTACTTAAAAGAATCCCTTAACAGCCACCTATGTTTGTCTAATGCTTTACTGGTTGCAAAGAGTTGAAATTTTAACCTGTATTATATCAGATGGGAAGGAGTCCAAAGGGAGAGGCAGCAAATACAAAAACAATCTGAAAAGGGCCCAATTTAAAAAGAAGAAATATAAATGAAACAAAAAAATTATGAGTTAAGTTCAAATTTAGTAAAGTCTGCAGGCAGGAACGTGCTCTATCAAATTTGGACCATTTAAAAAAAAACAATAAGCTTATTTGGCCTTTGAGAGTAGAAGTCGGGAGTCCTGTGGTACTGTCTATTTAATCCAACATATCTCTCTTAGGGCTCTAGAGCAACGCTTTTGCAGAAAATTTGATTTCCATAATCCCTGTAGAACAGACATTTATATTTGAAATGAATTGGTTCATAATCCTCTGAAATTTACAACCTGCAGAGAGAGATTCCATTGCTCTGAATAATACACAGATATAAGATAGTATTGAATCAGTGCCATACCGCTGGGTGCCTCTGTCCTTTCTCTGCTGGTGCTGTTTAACCGTAATCTTCTCCTATTATTATTCTTATCTGCTGATGTTTCTTGAGGGGGATGTGGCTGCATAATATGCAGATTGGCTGGTACATTTTCTATCCAAGAACAAAAAGCCAGAACAGAGAGTACTATATGGTTTGAAATAACTCAGTAAATACAATTATAGCTATAATGAGAATGTTCATGTATCATTCTGACATTATATAAAGATGTATAAAAAACTTGTTCCTTCACAGAAAATAGGTGTTTATTCCTATTCCAATATTAGGATTGTATCAGGCTTTCAAAATTACTAATACATTGCATTCATGTAATACAATCTTATAGGGAGCTATAAGTAATTTGATTAATGTTAATCACGTTACATGCTATATTAAAAATATAAAAAATGAAATTGACAGCCAATATAGAAATTTCATTTCTTCCTTTAAAAGAGGAAGCTAAGTTAAGAATAATGCAAGAAGAACTTAGACGGTAGTTTCCAAAAGCACGCTGGAAAACTCATACCATACCTAAAGAAGAATTCTTAAGTGTAATTTAATACTGTAATAACAATAATATTCATAGCAGTCCTTAATATTTACTGAATGCCTAATTTCTTGGCACAATATGATGTACTTGACTGATTTTTTTTCTCACTGAATTGTCACAACGACCCTTTGAAGCACCTGATATTTATCACTACTACTAGTGCGAGTAGTAATTATATCTCCATTTTACAGATGAGGAAACTGAGTCTTACAGGGTTTAAGAAACTTGATCAAGGTCTCACAGATAGTGTTAAAGCTGGTAGTGAGTATCTGTGTTATTCATTTCCTTATCTCAGTTTTATACTCCATGGGAGATGGTTTGTAATAGTGCTCATTAATTCCTAAATAAAAAAACATAAACCCAAATGCCCCCGTTTCAAGTCTCACTAATGTCAGACTGGTAAGAGTGGAAAAACTAAAAGTGTGTGGTAAGCCCTAGGTTCCCTGGTCTCAATTCTTTCCAATGATTACAGGCTGCAAATCACTTTATCTCTCTATTAGCCTTGAACTCTCAATCTATAAAATGAGACAAAGTCTTTTCTTCACCAACAGGGAGTTTTAGCATCAGTGAGAGAAAATAAACAGAACTTTATAAATGGGAAAGATTAATTAAAAGATAAAATTAAGAAACCTTAAAATGCAGATGCAGTTTCCAAAATATAGTGGTAAGAGGATGCTATATTATTTCCTCACCAGTCATCAGAAAGTAGAAACACAGGGTACTATAGGAATTTGAAATAATGCAATAAATAGGATAAAAAATTCAGAAGATAATGTGTCCATATAAGCATTCTAAATATATTTCAATATCTACCACACGTTTCATTTTTAAGTGGTAATTCTTGGGATTTAAGATCTAGTTACAAATATAACTTCAAATTTATCTTAACAAGAACACGCTCACTATTTTCACTAGCTATTAATCTTTATGCATGATTCTTTCTTACCAGGAATAGGTACAGTCTGCTTTATTTGGTGAGTATTTTCTTTATCTCCTTGCTCCTCAGACTCAGATGTCAGCAAGGTTGACAGTTCTGCACTGTTAACACACTTCTCTACTGTGGACGGCTGGCACGATCGGTTATTTTTGGACCCAATGGATCTTATTGTCTATAAAGAAAAGGAATTAATCTGTACATTAAAATATAGGAATTGCATTTACTTCCTGTCAATTCTACACAGAAAAATATTTGGACAAATAAAGACTGAGGGGAAAAAATGAGAGGAAACGAGGTTAAAAAGTTGGTGGAGAGGAAATTTATAGTAGAAAATTAGAAAGAAGGAGAAAAATAATGTGAGATAAAACAGAAGACAAGTCTCCTAGGCCCATAAATTAAAATATGCTTATTTGCTACACTCTATCTTTAGTAGGTAGAAGCTGAACTGAAAATGACTGTGTATGTCAGAAATTCAGAGGACATTAAAAATAAAACTATAACATCTGAGAATCTGTTCATTGTAAGGTATCTGGTGATGATCCAGCTCCCTGAGGAGACTACAAAATATGCTCACACACATTACTTTTAAGTTTTGTGAATATATTTAATGAAAAGAATACTAGAAAATGTTCATTGTGTTGACATGACAAAAAGGGAACAATTTTGAGGTCTTTTAAAATCCAGAATTTCTGTTCAAAATTTATTCACACATTTTGCTTTTGGCTTATAGTTTCTCTCCCTCTTTTATCCCCTTGCACTGGGGAAAAAGCCCTTCCCTTCCCATGCCACTCATGCGTAGGTAAGCTCTTCAAACCTTGCTCCTACCTCACTGTATATCCTCATGTTATTTCTTCTGCCAGAGAGTGGAGGTGGTCCAAGAACTTTGGATCCAAAGGCGATATGACAAACATCTTGATTTTTACTGTTCCGCACGCTACCTGTTCCTCTGTGAATGAACTGATCTGTGTTGTTAAAGGAAGGTAATAGAAGTTCATTAACGAGCGTGATGACATCATGTTGCAATATTTATGGAAGTGCAGTCCAGGTGTCATATGATCCAAATCCCCCCTCCTCCTGGGCACTCATTAAAAATGCAGAGACTGGGGCCCAATATCGCATCTATCAGATCTACAGAATTAGAATCTTGGGTGGGCGCGGGGAGAGGGAACAAAAATCTATAGTTTTAACATGTTCTACCACGATCATTTAAGAAGCTCACTGTCATTCGAGAACCACGACCACAAATGTTTTTCCTCAAAAAAAAAAAGGAAAAACTACTAAAAGTACATCTTATTTTCTTTTTAAGGAAATAATTTAAATAAAATTATTCAACTCAATTGAACAAATATTTGCTTGAGCTCTCTCTCAGGCATTTCCTAGAGGTTGTCAGTGACACAAAATGGATTAAACATACTGCTTGCCCTCTGGGAGTCTGAAGAGAGGTACAGGTAACTATAACATAAGGCAGACCAGTGGAAATGAAGAATGTGACCTCTTGGATGGACCTAAGATGGCTGATAAGATTTCACGAATAAGAGATGTAGGGTGCCACAGGCAGAAGAAAGTGCCTGAACAAGGCATGGAAGAGCGAAAAGGTGTAATATGCTTGGGGAATAACGGAATTACCAGTTTAGCTGAAAGGATAGACTAGGATCACACTGAAAAGATCCTTAAAATGCTAAGAGCCGCCTATTCTAACCTTGGCAACAGGGAATCACTGAAGGTTTGGGGGAGAAAGGGAGGAAACTGGTATCACCTCCAGGCTAAGGCAGGTGTGCTCACCAAACCCTGCTGTCTTCTCCCTCTGGGCACAGAGCTCAATTTCATTTCTGAGCCTTCCTTGCAGTTATACAGGCCATGTGACTGAGTTCTGCTAATGGAACGTGAGAAGTGGAATGTGAGAGGTGTAAACCCTTTCCCGGCTCCTAAAACCTCCTGCGTAATCCCCTCTGCTCACTGCCCTCGTATCTTGACAAGATGCAGAAGATTCAGTGAAGGACTTCAAGGCCTCCAGAGCTGCTAGATGAAAGGAGTCTGGGTCTTGGAGTGACCATAGGAAGGCTGCCCAAGGAACTCCTGAGTAGACCAGGGCTGTATGGGGCTTTGTGACTGCAGTTGCCTCTTTTGACCAATAATGCAGGTGAGGGTGATGGCCCTTCACTCCAAACACTACCCACAACCTAGAAAACCTTCTGCTGTGCCCCACTTGCAAGACAGAACCAACTTGAATATTATGTTGGCACTGAATGAGTCCACATTTGTCCTACACCCTGGACATACATGGGCGACTGGCCACTTCCTGTCTGACTTATTCCTCTGAAAAATTCCTATAGTTAGCTCGTTGGTCTCATTGGTCTTGGCTGTACAGCTGCAATTTTACTTGTGGGGGAATTATGCAACAGTGTGAGAAAAGGCACAGAAGTTGGTGAAAACATACCATGCTTAGGAAGCTCCAAATATTTAGGTCTGAGTGGAAGTAATGTGTGTGGGTATAAGAGTGTTTTGGGGTCTGTTTTTGTGTTTTTAATAGATGAAGCTGAAGAGATGGGCAAGGGCTAGATTGCTGAATTGATCTGAAAGAATTTTTGCTGGATAGAAGATCTGAGGTGGTAAGGAGATATACCATTCCAGTTGTCTTCCAATTCCTGAAGCCCTACTAGGTAGAAGAGAGATTCCATTTGTCCTACTTATTACTTCAAAAAGCTTTCAGTCCAACCTAAGAAACACCTTTATTTAATTAAAGCCTATCTGGTGTTGAGGCGGTGAATTTTCTGTCACTTTGACAGTGTTCAGGCGGATGTCTGGAAAGCTATTCTGGATATTGTCAGGCAGATTCAGATCTCAGTTGACTCCCCTAATTTCTACCTCAGGTGTGGTGCTCTCTTCTGAGCTCCACTCCTTGTACCCAGTGGCCTTCTTGGCAAGGGCCTCTTGGATGTCTCCAAGATACCACAAACTAAAATCTTGGCCTACTCCAGTTTGAAAAACCTGAGTCTAGGTGTCATTCTTTTTTTTTCAAGATTTTTATTGGCGAATTGCGAAGATGGGAACAGTACTGGGGAATTGAGGGAAGGGGAAAAGACAAGTTGCTGTCCTTTTGTTCTTCAGTCTAGTTGTGGAGGACGTTGCTTCACTGGCCCAAGCTGACACCATCATTGCACTCTTCCCGGGTGAGGCGCATCAGTCGCCGGCTTCTAGACGGCCACTCACAGAGGCTGCTGGCTACATACGGTAGCCCATGGCAACCCACTGCCACAGGGGCTGCAGCCTACGCCGTCGCCGGTGATTCACGGCAGCTCAGCTCCAGGTTGAGCTGTTGTTCAGCATCTTAGCTGTGGAGGGCAGTGTCACTGGCCCTCATATGTGGGATCCGAACTGGGACCCTCTGGCGTCNTAGCTGTGGAGGGCAGTGTCACTGGCCCTCATATGTGGGATCCGAACTGGGACCCTCTGGCGTCCCAAGCCAGTTCTTAACCATCGCGCCACTCGGCCGGCCCTAGGTGTCATTCTTGATACCTGCTTTCATCCTCTCCATAGCCAATCCATGTCCATTCCCCACCTCCTCCACCAGCACTGCAAATCAAGTGACCATCATCCCTCTCCTGGATGACTTCAAAGTCTCTCAGCCAGAGCGGTCTCATACAAACATAAATTGATTGGGTCATTCACTTTCCTCAATTGAAGCTTTTCAATGACTTCCCTGCTACTCTTAGGATTAAGAAGAAGGCCCTTAAATTCGCCTGCAAAAACCTGCCTGTTCTGTCTTTAGTTCATAACTTACCCCTCCCATTTTCTGCTCTCTCCACAGAGTGGCCTCCTCAGTGATTCCTGCCTACCAGGGTGTTTGTGCATGCTGGTCCCCAGGGCTAGAAGACGCTTCTTCAGCTTGGCTTCTATGTTTCAGCTCACGTATCACTTCCTCAGACAAGGCTTCTTGGAAATTCTGACTAGGGCAGATTTCCCCAGGATAGGTTTTCCCATAATCTTTCCCTCACAGAGCTTGTCAGGACTGTGACTTTACCTGTGTTTATGGGTTTCTCTGATGATGTGTGCATCAGTAGATACAAACTCAGTAGCCTGCTCTGTCGCCCCTGACTTGCCAGCACCCAGCCCTATGCCTGACACAGAGGAGGCACATAAAATCCTTGCTGAGATAAATGAAATGGATCATTAAATGGAATGGGTCAGAAGGGAAGCTGGATTGAATGACTAAATATTTCTAACTATGATTAGAATTTCATTCTAAGAAAAATTCACCTGAGGGTTTTATGTGTGAATTGAGGAGGAAGGTTGAACAGGACTGGACAACTGCCAGGATGTGGGGGATGAGAGAGAAGGGTCAACAATGACCAAGACGTAGATATGTATGTGAACAGCATGGCTCTCAACAGCAGCAGTGCAGCGGCACCAGTCAGATACCTATTCAGGTTACAGGTGAAATTTCAGAGTGTTAACAAACAGGCTTGGCTGTGTGAGCATCTGTAAATTTTTTTTTTCGGTCATTTATAAATATCCAGTTGGAGTCAACAAAACACTGTTAGTCTCTCAGGATCAATAATAGAAATGACACTCAAATTCCAGGCCAAATAGAAAACTCTATTATGGACTCATCATCTGTACTTTTGTGACCATTAGAACAAATCCTGGACTATTGATTTTGTCCTCAAATGTGGATTTCCCCTGAAAGAAACAACCAACAGAGGGCAGTGAAGGACTGTATGGGGTATGGGATAGGCCTAAATGGGAGTTTTCAGTACCAGGGCAACGAGGCGGCTATAGGGATACCTTTCTGTTCAAGCATTTTACAGTGGCAGCTTTCCTTGATGTGTTTTTCATATTCTTTATCTATATGCAGGTTCCCCTCATATAGTTCTTTGAGTGGAAAGACCATTTATTTGGTACTGAATGTATACTCCCATCTGCTGGGCCCAGCATAGCACATGGTAGGCAATGGATAAATCTCACCAAAATTGTGGACAATATACAAGATTAAAAGGAGGATTTTGGGGGGCAGGGAGAGGGAGAGAAGATATTTAAAAAATCATATTGAAAAAGGCACAAACTTAAAGTTATAAAATAAATAAGTCAAGGGATGTAATGTACAGCACGGTGACTATAGTTTATAATACTGTATTGCATATTTGAAAGTTGCTGAGAGAGTAGATCTTAAAAGTCCTCATCACAAGAAAAAAATGTCTTTGGAACTATGTTAACTAGACTTATTGTGGTACTCATTCACAATATATACAAGTATTAAATCATTACACTGTAAACCTGGAACTAACATTCAATATTATATGTAAAGTATACCTCAATAAAAATAAAAGTCATACTGACACAGTTCCAGTTATAATTCCAACAAAATGAAGATATCAACTAGTTCATAGTTGTTTAAAAGTTAAAATTCTGAAATACCTTGAATTTCTTAAGAGGAATTTCTTGCTATAGTAGATATTCAGTGAGTCTTAGAGACATACCTAAACCTGATATGACATAATCTCCTAAATCACAGAAAATGAGATGTCATTCTGTATTTTATAAGAGGAACTACTGTAGGATTTCTGTAATCTCTCAGTGTGTATTTAAATTTAAATCTATTTTAAAACTTTTAATACACTTTTTTTCCACCAAGTTTACCAATACTCTACTATTTAGTATCTCTTTAATGAACATGTTTTTAAATGTATTAGTACAATTAACACACATTCTTAAAGCCTATTTCACTTTAGTCTCTATTTATAATCATATCAATTGTCATAATTATCTTTATAAATATGTATCACACTATATATCTGTTACAATAGGATCCTAATTAAAACCTACAAGGAAAAGTAATTTAGACTTTAGGTTTCTAAAATAAAAAGTAGAACACAGTTTTTATAATGAGAAAAATCTTAATAAAACTAGAAGCAGAAATGCATGCCTTTTGAATTATAAAAGGAGCTCTTTTAAAAGCTGCTAT